ATATCGGAAAATTTTGAATGTTATTGCACGAGCCACCTTTGAGTATTAAAAAATTTTTTTCAGTGTCAGAATTTTTCATCGGAAATGTTAACTTGTAGAAAATTTAATATAGTTTGTGAAATAAAGGTCAGATTTTAGTTTATGTAAAAAAATCTGTTTTTAGACTAAAATCACAAAAATGCTAATATCTCAGGAAAGAGTAAAGATATAAATCTCATTCTGGTGGCACTGAACTACGTTTTATTTAGAGAATCCACCATAACTGTATTGACATTTAACCCAGTAACACCCTGTATAAGTAAAATGCAGTATTTTCTCTATCGTACATTTGCTATCCCAGATTTGGCACCCATATCACACAATTGATGTACAGACTGCATAATAATAATAATAATAATACTTTATTGACAATTATTATAAATAACAAAATATACCCTTTTAAAAAACATAAATATTTACAGCAACGGAATATCCGTCTTCTTGGAGTCGAGATTATTGATAAAATATTGATAAAAGATAATAAAATAGCCAATAAAATATAACAATATTTTCTGTGTTTTATAACATAATTAGAAAGAAAAGGAAAAAAAATACAATGAAATTATCTGGTGAAGACAGCAGAAGATAGCTTTATATACCATTAATTAAGTAAAAATTTCTTCTAAAAAATAAAAAATCGAAACCTTGTACCAGTTCCCTGCGGTAAAACCAGGCGTGACGTGCGTATTTTATTACCTGGTGGCTTGGCTCATTTAAACGTTTGACTAGGATTTCTTCCGTGAGCACAGAACTACCCAAAATGGTACGTTTAGGCAAAAAGTGCACGATTGTTTTTTTCCCTTGTATTGGACAGAGAGCACATTTCTGTATCTCTCTAGCAGCCTATCAAGAGAGTTAAGGAACAGAGGTTTACCTCGGAGTTTGAAAAGCCAAAGGAGATCCCTCAGTTTTAGTGTTATTCCATGTTTCTCATTCGTCAAGCAGAACATATCGAGATTTCGGTCAAACTTCTTGTAAAAAAGAAATCTCTCTGTTGTCAACATTCGATCCGAAAACCTCATGCTATCGCTAGACCTTATGTTGGAAAGAATGTACTCGAATTATGCCATCTGTTCAGAATTGTTGTCTCGAGAGAATCAGAAAGAAGGATGATATCTAACAAGGAACTCCAGTGCTCATACCATAAAATATTTTCACACAACGGTGACCAGGGAGTTGCCTTGTTCAGACGAGGCGACTAGTTGATTCTTGTAGTTGAACGGACGGGTGTCTTGGAGTGACTTGGTAGCAAAATGTTTGAGAATCGCTCCAACCCCTTCACACGCAGTCAACTCGTCCTCCCAGGCTGATGGCCATCAGGCACAATTGCCGCTCACGTTCTTATCCGGCGCCTTTGAGACCAGGGGGTTTGGTCGATTCAACTAAGTTGCCCGGTTGACTCTCAACTAGTTTACTGCCGTGTGAAGACTCGGTTTCACACCAGGCAACTTGTAGAAGCAACCTCACTTCTCAACCGGAGGTCCGTACGATGTTCGAGGATGCAGGAGCACTTCTGATTGTTCTACTGCAAAAAGAGAAGCAAAAAAGGATTAAACCCAGTAAAGAAAAGTGTGGGTTTATCCGTTGTTATAAAATTGGGAAACGGTCGCTTTCTCTCAAATGCTGTTGTGCTACTTCCCTCCAAGCTTTCCTTCTTTTAATTTTATCACTACACTCCTCACACCTCATGTCCCATATGACGGATCTAATACGAATATCTTCAATGAACTGGCTCCACATTGAAACTTGCAATTCCAACGCTTTCGCATCGAAATGGAGAACACAGTTGACTCAACTAGGTAACTGGAGAGAAGGACGAATGGCGAGCAGTGTCTTTTGAGTTGAGTGAACCAGTGGGGATGAGAACGTGAGCTTGAGCAGACGGGTTGACTGCGTGTGAAAGAGTTGGGTGATTCCCAAACATTTTGCTACAACGTTAGCACTTTAGCGTTAACACACCTTAACACCCATCCGTTCAACTAGTTGTCTCGTCTGAAAGAGGCCCATGTACTGATCTCCCGTTGGGAAGAGAGGTTGGCCTCTTTCAGATAAGGCAACTAGTTGAACGGACGGGTACAGTACATTCCTGTATACTTGGTCGTCCTAACAAGAACAATGAGGATCTTTATCGTCCCCACTAGCCTATTCGGCCTTATCGGACGGTTTGATTCTAAAGATGAGAGCTGACGCACCTCCGCATACGACAGGATGGTGTTACTACCGCAGCATTGGTGTAGAGGCAGCTCGGCCCCAAAAGGCCAAGAAAACCTCGCTCCCCGCTTGCCCATTCCGAGTGGTCGGGTCTGCATTGAGCATCAGACCGTATGCCGCGCGCAAAGCGCTACCTAATCTGAAATACATTCCTGGTCTCCCGCGCACTCCCTAGATAGAGAAAGCGACTCTATCCCCCAGAGTATTAGGTCTTCTTTAGCGTAGAAACTACCGGATACGCTCCGGCCGCGGTTTCGTTTAAAGTGGAATTTCTAACCACCCTCTAGAGGAGTACTGCCTTCGGTAACAGCCTCCAATCGAGCTCAGCCTACACCTACGTGCAAAGCATACTCGAGTAGGAGCAACCGATTCACTACCCTTCGCATCCGCCGCTACTCAAGCATTCGAGGGATTTTCCAGCATAATCATAGACTAGTTGATTCAACTAGTTCAACGGACGGGTGTCATTGAATGTAACGTGGTAGCAAAAATCCCTTCACACAGTCAACTCGTCCGCCCAGGCAGGTGGCCAGCAGGCACAGATGCCGTTCATGTTCTCATCCTCACTGATTGACTCAACTCAAAAAACACTGCTCGGCATTCGTCCTTCACACCAGTCGCCTAGTTGAGTCAACTGAGTTCCCCATGGAAAGCGTTTCAATGCTGAGCAGTTCATTGAAGATATTGTTATCAGTCCCGTGATGTGGGACATGAGGTGTGAGGAGTGTAGTGATAAAATTAAAAGAAGCGAAGCTTGAAGGGAAGTAGCATAACAGTATTTGAGAGAAAGCGCCCGTTTCCCAATTTTATAACAACCCATACTTTTCTTTTCTGGGTTTCCTCATTTTTTGCTTATCTTTTTGCTGAAGAGCAAGCACAAGAAGTCTTCCTGCTTCTTCGGATTCTAACATGTACTGGCCTCCCGTTTGGAAGAGAGGATGATTCGAAGTTGCCTGGTGTGAAACTGTCTTCACACTGCAGTAAACTAGTTTAGAGTCAACCAGGCAACTTAGTTAACCAAACGCCATCGTCTGAAAGAGGCAGGATCTACAGATTGCATTAAATTGGACAGATATGTGTGATTATAACTCCTAAGTATTTAAATTTATTGGCTATTTCGTTTTTCTCCCCTTTGAGTATCTGATGAACGGAGGCCATTCTTAAACATATTTAAAACTTCCAAGTGGCAATGCGTCCCAAAAAATAAATGTACATTTTCATTTTCTTAATACAATAAATTATTTATTAGTGTGATATAACGTAAAAAGGACGAGTTCAGAAGACTGCTACCGAAGAATGGACATTTCACTATGTCCAAATATTGATTAAGGACATTATACCATGGCTGTACCCAAAGTGGTACGCTTTACATAAAATATATTTATTAGACTGCATTTGTACTTTGAATAAAATTTGGTGTAAAAAAATCTGATTATTTATCAAACGTTGATTCATCAAAGGAAAGTTCGATTGGCAGAATTTTTCAAAATTTCATTTCTCTTTGCCTTTTTAAAGAGAAATAAAATCTTCATGAGGAACTTCATTAACCGTTTATTTGCTAGGCTTTGGAGGGGAATTCTTCACAATGAGCGACTTCCTGACAACGATACGATCTACCTACATCCACCTCGACGATACAAATAAACCTTTCAAGGGAAAATCCGTCTTTAAACAATTTACGACAAAGCCTTTAGTGTTTAATTATTGCATAACGGTTTTTTTTTAAATAAAACAACTTTTGTGTCGTTAGAAGTCGTGTAGGACAAAACCAAACAGTTTTGTAAGTCTGGACATATTCGTCAAAGGTTTATGGGTTCGTAGAAGAATATGACCTAATAAAAACAAAATCTTCAAGTGTTTAATGACTTCGTCTAGGTGGTCTTTTTTAATTCGAAACAATTGGTTAGACCGTGATATAAATTTTACCCCCGGAGCAAATTAACAAATTGAGAGTTCCGATTGGTCTCTTTAGTCAACTGTTGGACTAAATGGTTTGTCGTTCCGAGAATAAAATATGAAACAAGATTCGGATTAAAACTGATAACCCAATTGGGTTTAAATGTACTGGCTTGAATCGTCATGGTTGAAAAACTGCTAATGTAACTGACCAGCGAGACGTGACGGACCGTGTAGTTGATCAAGACCCATAGCCTACCGGAAAGAGTTCTTTGTAAACGATTACCCTACTTAACACACGAAATACAATTCTTTAGGAAAAACTTGCCCCAAAACCAATAAAGGCTGGTTCATGCTTTTCTATTAGTTAACTCGTCAACTGGAAGCAAATCATAGCAATGATGATTCTTAAATCATGGTTCTTAGCTATTCTTATCACTGATTTTTGGGGGAGTTCCTATTGTGAGATTGTATGACAAGCATTACGTAACTACAACATCCCCAATTCATTTACGTTTTATATTTTTGAGTGCATAGAACGAAATAAAAAGAGCAGAATGCAAGTCATTATTTTTATTATTTCTATAGCAATACATTAATCAAATTAAACTATATTTTTTATCATAATAACTGTACTCATTCGTAGTTTTAACTGTCTCTCTCTTTCTCGTCTGTCTGTCTGCTTCTCTCTCTCACTCTCTCTCTCTCTCTCTCTCTCTCTCTCTTTCTCTCATCTGTCTGTCTGACTGCCTGTCTCTCTCTCTCTCTCACTCTCTCTCTCTCTTTCTTTCTCTCATATGTCGGTCTGCCTGCCTGTTTCTCTCTCTCTCACTCTCTCTTTCTCTCATCTGTCAGTTGCGCTCTAGACACCGAGTCGGTAACATGTCTGAAAAGTGCTCTACCTGTAATACTGGCTTTGCACACAATGCTCATCAAATCAAGTGCGAAAAGTGTTTTAATATTTTTCATCCCAGATGTGTTGGAGTATCTAAGGAGGATTTCATGAGTTTAAGGGACAATAAACAAAAATGGACCTGCCCGAACTGCTCGAAAGTAAGATGCGTATGTGTTAATGACGATATCAAATGCGCTGCGAAGGGCTCATCGGAACATTCGGCTCTCCTAAATGAGATCAAATCCTTCAGAGAGGAGTTAAGGGAGATGAGAAAGGATTTTATCTCATCATTAAATAAGTATTCTGATATAGTCGAAAAAAACTCAGCCCTCATCGAGAATAATGCAAAGGAGATAAAGGAACTGGGAAGAAAAATTGATTCACTAGCAGAAATTAACACCAATTTGCAATTAAGGATGGAAGAAATCGAATATCAAAACAGTATGTTAGAACAAAATTTGCTGTCTAATGACATCGAAATTCAAGGAGTTCCAAAGGTTGAAAATGAGAATGTGCTAAACATTGTTAAGAAGATCTCTGGAATTATCGGCGTTCAAATAAGTGATAACAACATTAGTGATGTGTACCGAGCCAGAGGTAATCCTTCCACTAATTCACNCTCCCTCTCCCCCTCCCTCTCTGGGAGACAGAGACTTTTTTCAAAAAGTGAACAGTAAAACGACGGTTCTTCGGAGAGGGGGTGGACGATTTTTTCCAATGGCACGTAAAAAAGCACTTCTTTTTCCAAAAATCACCAATAACTCGAAAACGGTTGGGAACGTGAGTGGTTATTAAAATTTTCTAACGATTGCCTTATCAATAAATTCGGGAACATGTTAATTTTTACAATGTTTACTTATAATTGAGCTGTGGAACCAAGTAATCGTCCTGGAGCGGCGCCCTTAACATAAATAATAATAAAAAATAATAAAGTTGCGAGAATCCCGCTCGTGCCTCTAACTTTTTAATTTAACCAAAACCTTACATAAAAATATTAATTTAAAGAAGTAATTTGGTCGACAGACCACTAAATATAAGGGATAAAACATAACAGTCGATAGGAAATTTTAACAAGCTTTCAATTGCTCACCGACCGCTTTGCCCGATTTTTCAACCGTTTTCCAGTTATTCGCGAGTTTTGGCCAAAAAAATATATTAAAATTTCCTATCGAATGGTATAGGGCACACTCCACAGCTCAATTTGAAGTTATCGTAAAAAGTGGAAAAGTTAACATGTAGCCGAATTTTTTTTGATTCATCGATGTACTAAAAGCACAGAAATTCTTAAAGGTTATGTATGTATAATACATGGATACAATAACTCTTAAAGGTCGCAGTATATCACACCCCGTGTAAAATACAAAATACATTACAGCCGAACTGTATCGGCTTAAGATAATAAGCATAAAGTGGGTAGAAAAAAAATGAAAGAGGATGTGAGATATATACACTCCCAATTTTCAAGAATCCATAAATTTTGAACCGTAATTGCAAATTTTGTTCCGAGGACGTTTTCCAAAAAAGTGAACAAGAAAACGACAATTCTTCGGAGAGTGATAGGTTTTATCCATTGGCACCTACAAAACCACCATTTTTGGAAAAAAAATCGCGAATAACTGGAAAACAGTTAAGAAATCGTGCAAATTGGAAATTGACCAATGGAAAGCTTATTAAAATTTCCTCTCGATTGCTATAGGGCGCCGCTCCAGGACTCTATCCTGGCTCCACAGCTCAATTTGAAGTTTTCGTAAAAGGTGCAATAATTAACAATTAATTTACCGATGAATGGCTGAAGCTAGGACAAAAGCCGTGTTGTTCCAACATTGTTCCACGACGTCCTTCGATCACGTAGAGATAATTCTTTTTCGATTTTGACGGAACAATAAAGCCTGTTAAGAGCGGTCGCGGAGGCAAATTACAGATCTGTGCGAAATCCGTGACCGTCGGACGATCGGGACCGTTCGAGATGCTACTCGGGCCGATGAAAGAGAATGTGAATGATTCACCGGCTCGTGAGACGTCGAAGAGAGTAGAGAGTAAAACTCGACCGCGGTCAGTCGTTGTACACTCATTCATGATTTGCCTTTAAGCTCTCACTTGGGTTACTGAGAACGACGCCGATCCGATCGGACTCACTATTTCACTGACTCAACGATGACTTGTGAAATCTCAAAGCGCGGATTTGTGATTCACTTGTGAGAGATGGGAAAGTCTGGTAAATATTGCTGATCGCTACTATTGCCATTATATTTCCTAAGGACGAAACCGTTTCAAACATTGCAGCTACACACTTCCTTGCTTGTTTTGACATCACCTTTCACTACTTAAAAAACAGGTTTGTGTTAAATCACAATTTCAGATATACAGACGAACATTCTCAACAGTTATGATCATTAGAAAGGATTAAAAATAAAATTTAATACAATATTAAATATAAACAGTGAAATTTCCTTTTTGCGTACTTATTCAGAATAACAGTTCGGCCTTTCCCGACCTGCCTCTCTCTCACTCTCTCTCTCCCTCCCTCCCTCCCACCCTCTCACACTTCCTCTCACTCCCCCTCTTTGCCCCATCTCTCTCTCACCCTCTCTCTCTCCCTCCCTCCCTTCCTCCCTCTCCCACTTCCTCCCACTCCCCCTCTCTGCCCCATCACTCTCACTCTCTCTCTCTCCCTCCCTCCCTCTCCCACTTCCTTTCACTCACCCTCACTGCCCCATCTGTCTCCCTCTCTCTCACTCTCTCTCTATCTCTCTCTCCCTCTCCCTCCCTCTCACCCTCTCTCACTCCCTCTCTCTCTCTCCCATCTCCCCTCTCTCCCTCCCTGTCTCACCCTCTCTCTCTCCCTCACTCCCTCTCTCTCTCTCTCTCTCTCTCTTTCTCTCTGCCTTTCGTCTGCCTTATCTTTCTCTCTCACCCTCTCTCTTTATTAAAGTATATTTCTCTCTTAATCCCCCTCTATATTTATATCTCTCTCTTGCTTCCTCTCTCTCTGCTTGTTTGCTTCCCCTTCTCTCTGTCCGTGCACCACTCACTCACTCACACTCTCTCTGTATGTCTGACGTATCTCTTTCTCACACCCTCTCTCTTTATTTCTGTATGTTTCTCTCTTACTCCCTCCTCTCTCTTCATATCATTCTCTTGCTTCCTCTCTCTCTGCTTGTTTTCCTCTCCTTCTCTGCACCACTCCTCTCTCTCTCTCTCTCTCTCTCTCTCTCTCTCTCTCTCTCTCTCTCTCTCCCACTCATCTCCATATACAAATCTACGCCTTATTCAAATATATACAGTTATAACTTCTCAATAAACAGTATATAAATATATAGAAAATCCCTTTTCTAACGCTTTATTTTCGAATTTATCCTACATACATTGTGTTAACTTGTGAAGGACTTAATCCTTCAAGGATAAGACAGGGCTATATTTTGCTTCTAAAAGGATGAATGATGGTTATTATAACAGAGAAACTGTCAACATCAAAGCTCCTGCCAAGGTCTCGCAGAAATGTCAAACGTTTATCCAATTTTATAACAGTCGACAACATAACAGCGTTTATTTGTTGTCCTTGTTTATTTGTGGAACGTTATTGATTCGAATATATCAGAAATTTTCTTAATTTAATTATTACAAGTGTTTTAATATTAATTTTTTTTTTTACTAATCGAACCGAAAAACATTCTAAAGATTTGTTTCAACTGTTACAGTTTGAATGTTGCGAAATCTTGGAAACTTGTCAAAATAAAGGGGGTAAACAGAATGGGATTTATTGTCAGATGGGAAAATGAGGTGTAACTGAGCCAAAATTCCTGAGCCCATTGCCAATACTGTTTTGCCCTATCGGCCGCCAACTGGGTTAGCGGAATAACGCGGCCCGCTCTTGGAAAAATGATATATCGTCTGTTTTCAAAACCCCCGTTAAAGTTGTGTAAGGCGACGATCAAAGATTCTTGAATGAATCTGACGAGAATAGTACGCGGAATTTGATAGTTCGACTTTTATTTCGAATTAGCATCCTTCGAACTTTATACAATTATTGTTGCTTTATTATTTATCAATTTTACAGTTATAAAAAGTACCAAGTTGTGTACCATCTGAGACTTGGGATGAATACCCTTCCGTTTAGTAGTTTCAGAACACCCTGGTCCGCCTAGTCCTGCTGCCTTATTCAGAGTTTTTAATCGACTTCAGTAGTTGGCCTCTTATGATCTCAGTCATGGTAAAACCATCATTCCTTTTACGCAGTTTGTTTGGCTGCAGTGGTTAATTAATTACATACCATTCACAGGATCAACTTTCAATTTGCGTCAACTAATCTTCTTGGAAAAAAGAGCTATCATGATTGTTAGCCTTTTCGATGATTTTAGAGTAGAATATAAATTGTTTATTTTATCAAAGTAAGTATTACATATACAACAGGGTCAGGCACTTATCTTTGAAAGAGAAACATAGATTGGGCGAAAATGAAAAAGTGAGAAAGAGAGAGTGAGANTGAGAGGGAGAGGGAGGGAGGGTGAGAGGGAGAGGGAGGGAGGATGAGAGGGAGAGGGAGGGAGGGAGGGAGGGAGAGATAGGGAGTGGGAGAGAGGGTGAGAGGGAGAGAGAGGGAGAGAGAGAGTGGGAGGGAGAGAGTGAGAGAGAGAGAGAGAAAATGTTGAGAGAACAGAAACAATCATATAGAGTAAGAGGGGAAATGAAAAAAGTAGAACGGAAATAAAAAGTGAGAGGGAAAAATTGGTGGGAGAAAAAAAGGTTGATGGAAAACAAATAGTGCGAGAAAAAAAGGTTGAGGAGAATAAGCGAGATACATTAAGAGGGAGAGAGAGAAAGGTTGAGAGGGTAAAGAAAAAATAATGTTCAGTGCGAGGGAGAATGGTTGAGCGAAAAAAATAGAGGGAGCGAGAAAAACTTTTAAGGAATAGAAATAGTGAGATAGAGGAGAATGGGTGACCAAGAGGAAGGTGGAAGGGTAAAAAATTGGAGCGATTTAGAGAGAGACAGAAAGTTAACAGGGGAAAAAGTGTGACATCCCATTCTATCACACTTTTTCCTCTTCCCGGAAATAGAGAAAGGTTGATGGAAAAAATGATATAGAGGGAATGTGCGACCAAGAGGAAGGTGAAGGAGTAAAAAAGTGATAGAGTGAAAGGGAGAAAGAGAAGTTTCTGGAGAAAAAAGTATGATAGAAATAGAGGGAGTGGGTAACAAAGAGGAAGGTTGAAGCGAAAAATGTAAGAAAAGAGTGAGAGGAAATAGAGAAAGGTTAGGAAAAAATTGTGAGATGAGGAAGTGGGTGGCAGAGAAGAAGTTTGAGTATTGAGGTAAATATAAAGATACATCGATATATTTTTCACGATATAATGATAAAGCCGATATATAGTTTGCCATCCGTACATGGTCTATCATGACATGTGTCCTCCGGGTGCAGCTCTAGCATTAGTGTTTCTGTTGTGACTCCGTGTAAAAAATCACATTTGTAATATGTACGAATTTGTGTAGGGTACAAATAAAATAATTTAAAAAAAGTTGTCCAGAGGTGAATATAAACATTTCGCTATAGGAAAATCCGAAGGTTTGCCCAAATGACCTCTCATAACCTCATGACCCTCGCGAAAGAACAGATCCAAATTCGGGTTTTATCTCTGAAACTTGATTTTTTTTTGTTAAAAGGGAAATTTAGGATACCAGCAGTGGCTCTTCTGAAGTCATATTATGCAAGTGAGCAGAACTAGGGGATTCCCTATCGAGTAGAAAGCAGTTGTCCTAATTCAAGGCGGTGTGACTCACCCGGAGCCGCGGACCTCCAAATCCCCACCACGGTTCTACGCACTCTCTTTTCTTATTTCCCAGAACGGAATCGACTTCCTTTTTACCGCGGTCCAAATTTTGGTCGATACTAGAAAATATTTTGTCCTTTTTGCTATTTTCGACCTGAGCTTCCTCGAAAACGGAAGTGTCCGCTTCCTTGTTTTTCGCATGTCGGGAAGGTACGGGATGTTCGATTTCGAAGGCAACGGTTCGCACCTTTTTTGAATACCTGTGTTCCCACTATCCATCCGGTTATTTTTTTATATTTTTTATTTTTATTTATTTATATATTTATTTAACATGTTCTACCAAACAGCAAACGGGCACAGATATGCCCTCCCCCCCGTCCAAAACGATGTCCTATATATCTTCAAAAGAAAGTGACCATTTTGACTTTATCAATTCACGTCGATATCAAATAATTTAAGCATTTCTAGTAGGCTTTCCGGTTTTGGCAAAATACACAGAAATTTAGATTATAAAAAACTACCTAAGTTTTTCCAATTTTTTAAATTTTTTTTTAGGTAAACAGAAAATTCTTAGTTCATTAGTAAATCCATTACAGTTCGTGTCAATTAACTTTTTTCAATTAATTAATATTTATGAAAAGTATTGGTTGAGATAAAAAAAGTCAGTGTCACGAGCGGGATTCGAACCCACGACCTTCGGCTCAATAACCATTTGAGCTATCGTGGCTTCGATCCGCTCGGACAACTTCCCATCTCAACTTCACCTCTCGAATTTTCCCTCCTTTTTGCCATGTCTTCAAATGCTTTCTTGTCACAGGAATGTATTTATTTGTGTGAATAGAGGGGGTTATCCTAATTACGCCAAGAAATTTGGAGTACTCTGAGGTAGTTTGAATGATTTGTGGTGTATTTATGTAATTTATTAGCGAGAATGGCAGGGTGTATTCTCAATTAAGCCGAGGAATATCGAGTATTCTTTGGTAGTGGGAATGTAATATATTAGGGTGAATGGAGAGGTTTATCTCCAATTGCCCTGAGGAGAATCTAGAACTCTGTGGCAGATGGAATGATTTACGGTGTGTATGTAATTTATTAGCGTGAATGGCAGGGCTTATCCCAATTACCCAGAGGAATATCCAGTACTCTTTGGTTGTTTGAATGATTGTGGTGTGCATGTAATTTATTAGCGTGAATGGAAGGGCTTATCCGTATGGAGAATCAGTAAAAGAAATTAGTAGGTTTAACAAGCGAGAAAGATAAAAAACGAATTCAAAGCTCCTTCAGATCGGAATGTTACAAGTTACAATACTCATATTGTTTTACTATATTTAACTTTATTTAATTAATTGACAATACTAAGGAATTGAGTTTCAGAAAACACCGAAATCCTGGATGAACATTTTATTAAAGATCTATATTACTGAACAGTATTACAATAATATATATTTTTTTAGTTAGTTACTAATTCTTCTTGATGAATTAAATCTGGAGTTGCTAAGTACAACATAAAGTTCTATAAAATTCTGCGAATAAATTTATTAACTTTACAAATAAAGTAACATTTTATGGGTTTTATTATTTTTAAATCACTAATATTTTGGCTAGAAATAGGTAGGATAAATAGAAATAGCTCGGTTGAAGTTCGAAACATTTGATATTAATTAATCGAAGTCCTCATGGGCATGGATGGATACAAATTTCCTACAAATTCAGGTCAATTTGGATATTTACGGAGTTTCATGGTATAAGTTTTTTTTGCCAAAAAAGGCACTTTATGATTGCACGGCTATACAAAACTCAAGTTTTTTAATGTTGGGCAGGGGTTAATTAGGAGGATCGATAAACTAGCCGAGGATTCGATCAGGGCACCTATCGGTCCAGAAAGTGGGCATACCGAATGGACAAAAACGTAGATACAAAAGTGAATTTGTAAAGGAAAAGTTCTAGGTTCAATGAGATTATAATCCAGGACAGAGGCATGCGACAAGGTTCATCGAAAGACCATAGCACAGACTAATGGCAGAACTGCTAACCTAGGATGTTTTAGGGTAGGATGATACACTGCTGACTCCGGAGGCATATGTTTTAGTTGGATGAAGAAACAAGAACATGGTATATGAAAATCCAAGTGCTCAAGAATACACAAGTGAGCCTTTAGGAAAATTTGTAGTCTGCTAAAAATCCATAAGTTTACGAAGAGCTCTACACTATTGGTCTCGAACCGCAAAGTCATAAAAAGACCGACACCTTTAGCACTTAAACCTTAAAGTTTAAGAGAGATACTCGATATTACTCAAGGTAGTTAGGCATAAGCCCTTCATTCACTCTAATAAATCACATTTTCATAACCTTAAAGTTTTAAGATTCACTTATATACTCTATATGACTATGCTTTTTATAATTCTATGATATAATTCAAAAGAATATCAATATTTTTTTCCCCTTTGGTGCTACCTAATTGATAAAAAGAGTGTGTTTACAATTATGAATAATCACAGATTCACTATACCCTTTCAGAGGGGAATTTATCCAGATCTCCCCCGTCTGCTATACGCTAACTTTATTTGTTAGAAATTTTAACGTCAAATTTTTTTTTTAAAATTTTTTTATCTTTATAATTAATCCATAATTGAACAAAATTAGGTTTTATTGAGACAGTGAGGTGAAAGTGAATTTGAAGAGGACGTAGTACAGGTGTAGTGTTCGAGATATCAATTAACTTCCTTTAACCTACTGTCTACTTTAATCTTGAGTCTCACATCCACACTCAGCCAGCCCACTTATTCCCATATGTAAATTCAATCATTATGATTATACTTATCAATGCTTATTTCAAAATGGGTAGAATTTAGTGGTCGTTAATTAATGATTATTTAGAGTTCGTGAGATGCGCTCCGGTGTGATGTAGGTTTAGAAAAACATTTTCTTTATCGTGCCAATTTTTGATCTTTCTTGAGATCATCTTCAGGGCTCAAAGTGTGTATCGACTAACACTCTCAACACGACACACGTGACACATCTAGACACATACAGAAAACACCACTTTGAGCCCTGAAGCTGATCTCAATAAAGATCGAAACGTTGGCACGATAAAGAAAATATTTTTCTAAACCTTATCACACCAGCCGCATCTCACGATCTTTAAATAATCATTATTTCACAAGTGTATTTTAGTAAGAAGACAGACTCTCTCACTTCTTTCTGTCTGTCTCTCTCTCTGTCTGTCTGTCTGTCTGTCTGTCTGTCTGTCTGTCTGTCTGTCTGTCTGTCTGTCTCTCTCTCTCTCTCTCTCTCTCTCTCTCTCTCTCTCTCTGTATGTCTGACATATCTCTCCCTCACATCCTCTCTCTTCATATCCTATCCTCACTGTCTTGCTCCCTCTCCCTCCCATCCTCTCTCTCTCTCTCTCTCGCTCCCTCTCTGTCACTCTCTCTGCTGTCTGTCGTCTATCTTTTCTCTCTTTCTCTGGCACACTCTCTCTCTTTATTTCTGTATGTTTCTCTTTTACTCCCTCCTCTCTCTTCATATCACTCTGTTGCTCCCTCTCCCTCACTCACTCTCTCTCCCTCACTCACTCACTCTCTCTCCCTCTCCCTCTCCCTCTCTCTCACTCTCTCTGCTGTCTGTCGTCTGCCTTTTCTTTCTTTCTGTGGCACACGCTCTCTCTTTATCTCTGTATATTTCTCTCTTACTCCCTCCTCTCTCTTCATATCACTCTGTTGCTCCCTCTCCCTCACTCTCTTATCTCCGCCTGTCTGTCGGTCGTCTGCCTTCTCTCTCTCTCTCTCTCTCTCTCTCTCTCTCTCTCTCTCTCTCTCTATCTCTCTCTCCCTCTCTATCTCTTTTTCTCTCTCCCTGTCTGATCCCTCTCTATATTTATATCACTCTCTTGCTTCCTCTCTCTTTGCTTGTTTGCCTCCACTTCTCTCCTTCTCTGCACCACTCACTCACTCTCTCTCTCTCTCTCTTTCTTTCTTTCTCTCTCGCAAGCCAGGAATTTTTAGATATTAAAGACAATTTTGGCTGCATTGGTATTTTGAACGGTTACTAAATAAATAATTTGTTTTTAAAGTTTTAATTTTACAAAATTGTTAATTTATTTTACAAAAAAAATAAATTTGTCTATTTCATAATACACCATGAGATTAATTAATACTTCCATGTAATAAGATATCAGTTGATACAGTTCATTTGTTTTCTTTGGCTTTAATATTTTTTAAAAATATTAAATATAAAATTATAAAATTAAAGTGTAAAATAAATTATTTTTTGATTTATGATTAAATTATGATTTGATTTGTAATGATGGTATGAACTGAAATAGGGCCTAAATTTTCAATATTTTGTTTTAAAATGTTTGTACATTCTTGCATTATTATATTCGTAGTATATTGTTTATTTCGATATTATTGTTGCGTTAATAATATAATATGTGTTTGAAGAAGGAGGCTGAACATGATCCACATGGTTAATACGACCCTTTAAACCCTTTACCCTCGGGTCTGGGCGGTCGTTAACGTGCAGGTAAACGTGCAGTTTAGCGTGAAATCGGGTGTTAATAATCGAACGGGAAGATGCCGCGTTGTTCGTTTATCTGGGCATAGGTGGCGGAATATCTGTTTGCATTACTCACAAGGTCCACACGGTGAAGAAGTTGTGAATGGGAGTCAAAGGGTTGTGGTGGGGGATGAGGGAGACCGGCGATTCCAAGAAGTTCGGACTCGTCATCCTGAGGCTCTCCGGGTCTATTCTCCTTCAGTAACCGCCAATCGTTCAAAGTGTGTCGTTCGGAGGAGGATATCGCCTGAAAGCCGGTGCTGTTTCGTTGTTGAGTGAAAAAGAAACGAGCCGTTGTTTTTTTTTAAACGATAGTTTTTCACCGGGTCGCAAGAGCAGAAGAGCGATCCGTTATCCCTCTGGGATGCTAACAGGTGAAGAGGACCTGCACCTTGTCGGAAGGACGGACGGAGGAGGGTTGGTCCGCGTACACAGGGGATGGTCCCAAGAGAGCGGCTATTCTTCGCCCGCGATGACGCCCCAGAACGATGACTCGTCCAACTCCGTGTTGGACTATCTAGACCTAGACCTCCTGAAAGAGGAGTCCAGGGCGAGGAGAGGAGACATTGCCATCGAGGATTACCTCAGGGGTGGCGATTGTTCCTCGGAGCCGGCCTTTCCCCAGATACCCGTCTCCACCCCCGCCACGACTTGCTCGTCCCATTCAAACTATGAGGGTGACGAGTCCGAACGAATCATGGTTCCTAACGGTAAGTTACAAAAAACAACCTACATCACCTTAATAATTAATAAAACTCCTATCAATAATAATTGATCAACAAACGTCAGAAATAATGCTGAACTTAAAATAAGTCAACATGATAAATTTTATTTAAATTTATTATAATAGTAACAAAACAGTTGCCATTTTTCGCACCTTTGTTAACTCAAAAAGCATGGATTGTCGTAAAAATGATTTTATTGTATATTATTAGTCATCAAATCACTTTATTGCTCTGATGTCCTTGTGTGTGTATTTTCTACTGACTGTTTTTAATTTTATAATTACATTACTTTGTAAACTTATGAATGTTTGTATTAATTTTTCTCACAAGTGTCATGAAATTTTTTTAGTATGTATCAGTTCGATTGTTTTCTTCGGCAGGGTTTCAAATTTTGGCGGTAAAATCATTTTAACATGGTACATGATATGAGGTTTCAACCCAGTGACCTGCAAACATTAAAATTAAATTCTTTTCAATTAATTAATCTTTAATTAAGGTTTTGAGATAAAAAAATCAGTGTCACGAGCGAGACTCGAACCCACGACCTTCGAACCCCCCTCGGGACACTGACTTATTTTATCTCGACCAAAAACTTAATTAAAGATTAATTAATTGAAAAGAATTTATTTGGTCATCGGGCCACGATTAATAGATTAATATTAATTCATTACAATTATCATTGAATTATAGCAAAGTTGAAGTTTTCTAGTGTGAATTTAAATTCAAGTTAAACTTTTTTACTTGTGTATTTTGTGTTGTGTATGTTTTAAAGTTTCATAAGTTCACAAATACGAAAAGTTATGAACAATTGTATTTATTGTTCTCATCATGAAAAATCTAAATATATTTAAATGTATCATATAATGTTTTTTCGGCCCGATTTCAAATTTTGGCGGTAAAATCATTTTATAATTTTTTTCTGTTTTGTTCATATTGTTGGGATTTTTTTTAATTATATTCAGTTCAGGTTTCGTTTAAAATTTGAAAAATGTCGAGTTTCTGTTCTAATTTCGTTTATTTGCACTTCTTTAAATTGCCGCAGTCTACTTACAAGATAAAATTTGTCTTTTTTTATCTTATTTGCATGGTTGGAACAATGCGTGACTAATTCGTCAAAAACGCCACTTAGCCCCTTCATCAACCTCTTTTCTGAATTGTTTACATTATTATTGTAATAAACTCGAAAAAGTTCTCGTACGCGTTCAATCTATAAATATATTGTTTTATAAGCCTAAGTGGAAAAACGAATACGGATTTTATTTTTTCCAAGTTTTCCCCCTTAGCGATGCATTTTTCATAGGAATTCTTGGACATGGTTCAAATTTGCCATTGTAATAAACTCAGTTATGCAAAACTGGCACCGATAATTGGCAACTGGACAAGAGCTTCAGGCGGCATTGACACTGAGGATCAAAACAAAAATTTTTTGGCAAACACGAGAAGGGGCGACGAATCATTGGATTTTCCTTGAAAATAGTTTTGAATAATCTCAGTATTTTTGGCAAATGAGATTAAATAATTCGTATAAAATATTACGGAATGATTAAAAAGAAATATGGCACTGGTAAAATTACAATTCCAAAAAGTCTGGGTCTATAAAGATCGAGTATGAATGCCAATCGATATCAGAATTGTACTTGAATTTTTGATTCCCCTGCTGATTTCTTGTGTATAGTACTTGATATGCATTCGACTATTTGTGATACAAACTTTGCCAGTAGATTCTACATTTAAAACGGAACCAAAAACTCCTAATAAACTATGACCGAATCTCCACAGTTCAGGGCTTATTTCACTTTTCCTGATTTTTTTAAGATTTCACGTCCTTGCTTTAAATAAACAATGATAACTCCAAAACCAAAAGGTTTTGGACAAATATCATTGAAAACGACGTTAAATTTCCTAAAATGCGATCAATATTAAGGTTGTGAAAGTTGGAGAAATAAGCGTTGTAGTAGCCAGAACTTTGAAAAACAAAATTTTTTTTTCAAAGTTGAAACACTTACTATGGTGATTCTAAATTACTATTTCCAAACCTAGAGACCAGCAAATTTCACAAAAACGTACTCCATCTAATACCTGTTTTAATGGTGTAATTGTTTTTGTAATTACTTTTTTCAAATATGAAGAAAGTGATGAAGGTAAGGAAAAAAACGTGTTTGACTGATTAATAAGGTAGAAAGATAATAAAAAAATAAGAAAAACAAATAATTAAAAAAAAAAAACGAAATTTTGAAAGAATGTACTAAAAACGTTTTGAATCTGAAAACTGAAATAAACGTTTTAGTAGCCAGAAATTTGCAAAATAAGTTTTATTTCAAAATTGAAAAACTCCATGGTGATTCTAAACTATTTCCAAATCTAGAGATCAAATTTCACAAAAACGTTCTCCATCTAATACCTTTTTTAATAGTGTAATTGTTTTTTTAATTACTTTTTTCAAATATGAAGAAAGTGATGAAGGAAAGGAAAAAAACGTGTTTGACTGATTGGTAAGGTGGAAAGATAATAAAAAAAATAAGGAAAATAAATAATTTAAAAAAAACCTTAAGGAAATTTTGAAAGAATGTACTAAAAAACGTTTTGAATCTGAAAACTGAAATAACGTTTAATAGCCAGAACTTTGAAAAATAATTTTTTATTTCAAAAATTGAAAAACTTACTATGGTGATTCTAAACTACTATTTCCAAACCTAGAGACCAGCAAATTTCACAAAAACGTACTCCATCTAATACCTTTTTTAGTGGTGTAATTGTTTGTTTAATTACTTTTTCAAATATGAAGAAAGTGATGAAGGAAAGGGAAAAAACGTGGTTGACTGGATGGTAAGGTGGAAAGAAAAAATAAGGAAAATAAATAATTAAAAAAAAAACTTAAAGAAATTTTGAAAGAATATACTAATTTAAGTAAGAAAGAAAGTACTAATTACACCACTAAAAAAAGGTATTAAATGGAGTACGTGTTTTGAAATTTGCTGGTTTCTAGCTTAGGAAATAGTAGTTTAGAATCACCGTAGTAAGTTTTTCAACTTCGAAAAAAACTTTTTTTTATGTTCTGGCTACTAAAACGCTCATTTCACCAACTTTCACAACTTTAATATTGATCACATTTTATCGAAAATTTAACGTAGTTTTCAATGGTATCAACGGATCTGTCCAAAACCATTTAGTTTTGGAGTTATCATTGTTTATTTGAAACAAGGTCGTGAAATCACAAAAAATCAGAAAAAGTGAAATAAGTCCGAAACTGTTGTGTTTCGGATCATAGTTAATTAGGACTTTTTGGTTCCATTTTGAATGCTGAATCGATTGGCAAAGTTTGTAACACGAGTAGGCGAACACCGTGTATATCTCCTTTTGTTTCTTTTTTGTATTGAAATTGCAAAAACCTGGCAGGCGGACTATTGTCTTCTTTATTATTATTTATATTATTATTATTGTGTTTTGAGATTGATTAAATTAATTAGCGTGTAATGTGAGAGGAACGATGGTGAAAAAATTGAATACCCCATCTTACATTCACAACCCATCACCTACTCACAAACACTCTCACGCACACTTCTCACTCACTAACACTCTCGGCCTCACATTGGCTGTGAAACTATTACCGTCTCGCTTAATTTCTCTCTCTCTCTTTCACTCTCTCACACTCACTATCATTCTTTGTTCACTTACTCACACCGCATCCACCCTCTTACCAACTCACAGAAGCATTCACGAACACCCTCTCACTACTCACTATCAGCTCTTTTTCACTCGCACCTTGTGACCTACTCACCATTATCTTCTCATTCATTCACACTCACTAACACCCTCGTGCTCACTCATTAACCTTGTACCACCCTTTCAATCTCGCTTGGTATGGAATGGTGAAAAAGGATACTAGGAAGCGGGGTTTGTACTCCCCAGGCACTGCAGCCTTCTGTTCCTTAGTTCAGTGCAATAGACTCAATCCTTCTCCTTAGAAGTATCAGGTCATTGACTGTCGCTGCTGCAATTTCATTCCCTAATTTTTTCCCGTACGTTAGGTTAAATCTCCATTGAGCTGTTGCTTCGCATTCGACGATGATATGAGTTGGCTGTTTCCTCCTCCTCAATACATAATCTGCAAATGGGATCATCGCTGTATATATATGTGTAGATGTTTTCTCAGATGCTAGTGACCGGTTAGTAGTCCTACCACTCCTCTGAGTTTGGCGCTCTCCAATTGCAGCAGTGCTTTTGCCAGTCTTGGTGAGGGTTGTTTCACCATAAGTTTACTATGTCTAGCACCGTTAGAGTTTATCCACTTATTTTTGTTTTATTTGGAACCATTCTACAATGGAGGATTCTATAATTGTTTTGTTATCCCAAGTATAGGTTCCGGGTCTATGTATGGTCTTGCAGATCCTCCAGTCTGTCTGCTCTCTCGTTACCCAAAATCCCCCTGTGCCCTGACACCATATCATCAGGTTGTTGTGTTCCCCAGGTTTTGGAGATTTTGGATGCATTCACTGACTAATTTTGATGTGATCCTTTTACATGTTAATGCTTTAGTGGCTGCTTGGCTATCTGATCTTATGAGGATTTTTTTTGGCAATGTAACTTCTTTTAAGATTTTCCAGGGCACAAGCAATGATGGCATGTATTTCTGCTTGAAAGACCGAACTGTGCTTCCCTAATGAGTTTGATTGCTCATGTTATTGGCTTAGAGAAAACGCCCGATCCGGTTCCTTCGTTTGTTTTGGAACCATCTGTGTACGATATCATTGTATCTGATGCTCTCCTGTGTTCTTCTTCTCCTTTATAGTCCGTTGAGACTTTATAGGAAGTTGTGAAGATTGTTTCCGGGATCATAATCGGGGGACAATCAGTCCCCATTTCTAATAATGGGTGTCTGATTTTGTTGATTATGGTTGTATGCCCGAATTGTTTAGTTCCTTCCCAATTTAATTGTTTCTGGAGTCTAGGTGTGCTTTTCCTAGCCTCTCCTTGTATGAATATTT